CAGGCTGTGTCCTGTGGGGCACACCAGGAGCCACTCTGCCACCTGTGGGGGTGAGCCAGTCAGTCCCCAAGTACCTCCCTGCCTGTGGTGAGGAGATGCAGCTGAGCATCCTCAGCACCATGGAAGAAGGGCAGAAGAGGCTCTTTGAAACAGCAAGGCAAGACTGCTGTCCCGGAGAGCCATGTGAGCCAGGTGCTACCCTACAAAGCCATTGAGATAAGACCCAAATCTAACACCTGCACCCTCTTCCAAGGAAAGCCCTCCAGTGCCTTCAAGAGAGGCTTTTTCTCCCTTCCTCGTCACCATAGTCTAGGACCCAAACCAGTGGTTTTCCCTTTCCTAGCAGCAGCATCTGGTCCCTCCATGGTGCCTGGACCCATGGGCATACTCTCCTGCTGCAAGGAAGCACATCCTGAGCCTGGCGAGTTCTCACCCCCAGCCCATGGGCAGCGTTGAACCTGCCAGCAGCCCTGCTCCCAGGATGAGATACAGCCCTTTTTCCTGGGCTTCCCGCTCACCCTCTGGGTGCCTCCTCTGAGCTGGCCCCAGCCTGTTTCAGGTGCATGCAGGTAGGCTGAGAACCCAGCACCCCCAAAGTGATGTCTCCAGCATTGCTTTGAGCTGCTGCGCCATGCTCGGCGTACCCCTGTCCTTGCAGGAACCGGGCTGAGCACAAGGCACAAGATTTGCCCCACCCGCAATATCCATGGGGATGACAGGACAAAGGAGGTGAGGCCAGGGCAGTTTTGTCCTGCAGCTGAGGTGGCATTGGTGTCTGTCCTGGCCATCCCTTACCGATCTTGCTGGCTCAACAGCAGTGCAGTTGCTGTTGGTGGGGAAAGGAGCTTGGAGGCATTTAGCTCAGCCCCCAGGTACATTCAGTGCATCCGCACCATCAGGAAACCCACTCTCTCCCATTTTCCCCTGTAGCATCCTCACTGCAAACCACCCATGACATTTCTACAGTGCCTTTCATCCCCAAGGGCTCCCTGCTTGGCGGTGAGGAGGAGAAAGCCTGAGCACTCTCCGTTTTTCATAAAATCCCAGAATGTTGGGGGTTGGAAGGGACCTCTAGAGATCATCCAGTCCAACACCCCTGCCAGAGCAGGATCCCCCAGGGCAGCCACACAGGAACGTGTCCAGGAGAGTTTGAAAGTCTCCAGAGCAGGAGACTCCACACCCTCTCTGGGCAGCCAGCCTCCACCCCCTCTCTGGGGAGCCTGTGCCAGGGCTCCGGCACCCGCACAGCCAACAAGTTTCTCCTCAGGTTGAGGTAGAACTTCCTATGTTCTAACTTAAACCCATTATTCCTTGTTCTATTGCTGGGCACCACTGAGAAGAGATCGTCCCCTTCCTCTTGACACCCACCCCTCAGATATTTCTATACATTAATAAGATCCCCAGCATTGGGTTGGAGAAGCAGAGGCAGAGGGCACCGCCATCCCCAGCCCTTCTGTCGGACAGGAGGGACCTGGCTGCTTTTGTACCCGGGTCATCCACTTCCTCCTGGCTCTGCCCTCCTGCTGTTTGCAGCCACCCAGCATCCACAACCCAGCCACAGCCCCGTACCCCTCACCACTGAGGTCCCCTGTGTTTCCTCGACACCAGCACCGTCCCCTCCAGCAGTGAGTGCCATCACTGCTGCTCTTTTGCTCCCCGGGCTTTCCGGCTGGAAGCGTTAATGCTAACCAGCCGCAAGGCTGTTTATTTTGGAAACTATTTGGGATGTCATTTTCTTAAATAAGCTAGATGAAGTGTATCTCATAAAACATTCATGTCACTATAGTACTCAGGCCTAAGTGAATGGAATAGAAACCCTATAAAAAGCAAAACAAACACAATAAAATGGTAACAAAGAGTATATTGTGTTTACTAACAGAATTACATCAAAGACAAGTTTAAATACAAGATCCAGTGACTTAGCTGACTTGAGCTGGCACCAGCACAGAGGAGATCTCTGCTAGCTTGGGCATTCCCCAAAATCTCCTCTACCCAGAGGCACATGTCCTACTGCGCGTCGCCTTGCTACGTGTTGCCATGTCTGCCGGTTACCTGCTTCGTTAGAGCTCTCTGTAAATTGTCAGGTCTTACTGTTGGCTTCTCAGCAGCCCGAGCACCCACAGGTGCTGCCTTTGCTGCCCGCCCAGGGCTGCCCAGGCTCAGTGCAGCAGGGTGATGCTCAGGATGCCAGGGCTGGACCTCTGCAGTGCTGGGCACAGCATCGGGGCAGCTTCTGAGCCTCCTCTCTTTCTGCGGCTGAGCCGATCCGTCTCACAGAACTGTCAGGGTGAATCTCCTGCCTGTCTCTTCCCGCAGCCCTTCCCTCCCTGTGACGCCGAGACTCCCATCCCTCCCCAGGACCCAGCCCACCGATCTGGCTTGTCGGCAACACCCATCTGCTGGCGCATCTTTGCTCTTCCTGGCTCCAAAAACTTTGCTCCCCGCTGATAAAAGGCTGCCTTCTTGGATCTGTGTTAGCATGCCCTGAAAGCCAAGTCTATTCCCTCCAAAGCCTGGCACTGGCTCTGAGTCTTTTTGCCAGCTGGAAGCATAAATACCGGCATCCTTTGGTAAAAGACAACAAACCAAACAGGATTTGTAGTTTGGCTTCCAAGTAAGGAAGCATTTTGGGAAGATAGTTACAGAGGAGTGGTTTATCATCTACTGCCAGCAGACATCACAGAGAAAATAATGTTCTTTTTAAAAAAAAAAATATCTGTTAAGGGCTCAGATTGGGACTTTTCCTTCCCAGCTAATGCGAAGCTGCTGATGGGAGCTTATTCTAAGGGCACACTGGGCTAGAGGTAACGTAGCATCAGTTACTGGGGTTTACTGCTTGCTGTGATAGTATTGAAGGGCTTCATTTCTATAATTGGTCCTGTATAGGAACAGATCCCTGCATGGCCATGGAGAGTCTAATCACGGCTGCGTGCAGAGTGAGTTTATTTCACTGTAAACCTCAATACTCCAATATTTCTATTCTTCTGGCAAGGCCCAAAGTCTCCTGACTTGATGAGAGTGCGCCAGGCAGGAATTAGAAGTCTTTAAGGGCGATGAAAATGATCTGTTCAGTCTGCGCTCCCGTTTTGTAGCTCGCACCACCTGGGACACACACAGTACGTTCCAAGCCTGCAGTTGCTTTCCTCCTGCAAATGTCAGAGGGACATTTTGATGCTGGCAGCTTGCCCCTTCCCTCCTCTGAAACCGCACACGGGCAAAAGCAGCTTGGCTTTTGGGAGCTCCGCGCCCTGGGGAGGCTGGGGACGGTTCAGCTGAGGTCCTCCGAGCGAGTAGAGGAGGCAGTGTGCGGTGGCTGTGAGCACCGTGTTAGTGCTCTGACATTTCTGAGAGGGATGGGGGAGAAGTGGTCCCTCGGTGACACCCATTCTTCTAAAAGGCTGATGGAGTTACCCCCATACAACGTCTCGAAAGCTGCTTGAGCATCACCGAGCAAGACCGTGACATCCAAAACAGCTTCCCCGTGCACCGAGCTCAATGTAACCAAACCACTCCCGAGATTTTACAGAAAAGTGTTCTGGCCAACACAGCTCACCCATGTCCTGATCTCTGCCAATTCAGTGGCACTGGCAGGGTCCCGGTTTGTCTGATGTAGGACATCCCCAGCATGTAGTGTCAGGCCAGCCCTCCCTCCAGACCGTCTTCCCCAAATTGTATGTCTTTCTGGGGCCACATTTTAACCCACCCAATCGAATAGCTGTGTGGATTTTGGAGGCTGGAGAGAAACATTTCCCTGACTCTTTGGTGGCTGCTAGGGGTGGGGAGCACTCAGCCAGGGCAAGGAGCGCATTCATGAAAACTTAAATACTCTATTAATGTCAAAGCAGGGAGAAAAAAGCTCCAAACAATACACCAGTCCTCTCTCCATATCAAGCTAAACTGCTCCTGAAGGCATTTTTGGCAAGAGGCCACAGCACAGATGAGATTGATGGCTCCCAGGTATA